ATAAAAAATTGATATGACATAAAATAATACTGTTAAAATACGAGAGATTAAGAAACATTTAAATAAATTATATATTTTGAAAAGTAGTACGAAGATTTTATTATATAGAGAGATTACAGTTAATTACATGATATAGTCGATTTGAGATTATTCTATATACAAATATTCTTAACACTATATATTTACAAATATCAACACTCTCCCTCAAGTTGGAGCATATAAGTCAAATGCACCAAGCTTATCACATGTATAATTAGTTCTAGAACTTTGCATGGATTTTGTAAACACATCTGCCAATTGATCATTAGACTTGACAAAATTTGTGACGATGTCGCCAAATTCAATCTTCTCTCTGACCAAGTGACAGTCTATCTCAATATGTTTGGTCCTCTCATGAAAGACTGGATTTGAAACAATGTGCAATGCGGCTTGATTATCACAGACAAGTGTCATTAGTCTTACATCTTCAATTTGAAGTTCTTTGAACAATTGTTTTAACCAAATGAGTTCACATGTTGCCATTGTCATGGTCATATACTCTGCCTCGACGCTTGATCTCGCAACTATATTTTGTTTATTACTTTTTCAGGATATAAGGTTTCCTCTAACAAGTACACAATATCTAGAGGTGGATCGTCTATCAATGGGTAACCCTGTCCAATCAGCATCGGAGTATCCAACTATCTGAATATGTCTTTTATCTTCATACACTAAACCTTTTTTTATAGCACATTTGATGTATCTCAGAATCAAGATAACAACATACATGTGTTCCTGACAATGGGAATGTAAGAACTGACTTACCACACTGACTGCAAAAGAAATTTTAGGACGAGTGATTGTGAGATAATTCAACTTTCCAACCAACCTCCTATACATTCCTGAGTCTGATAAAGGCTCTCCCTGATTGGATAGTAGTTTGACACTTGGATCCATAGGAGTATCAGTTGATTTAGCACTCAACAAACATGTTTCTTCCAAAATATCCATAGCATATTTCCGCTGAGAAATCACCAAACCATCTTTAGATTGGGCTACCTTAATACCCAAGAAATAACGAATTTTACCAAGGTCTTTGTCTGAAATTGATTTGAGAGATGTTGTTTCAACTGGAGTATTCCCTGATGATCACTACTAGTTATGATAATATCATCTACATATACAATAAGATAAATACACCCTTGAACTGAGTGACGATAAAAGACAGAATGATCAGCTTCACTGCAGACCATACCAAATTATTATACTACAGTGTTGAATCTGCCAAACCAAGCTCTCGAAGATTGCTTAAGACCATAAAAAGACATGTGTAGCCTACAAACCATATTCGATGACTCTCCCTGAGCAACAAACTCCGGTGGTTGCTCCATATATACTTCCTCTTCAAGGTCACTATGTAAAAATGCATTTTTGATGTCAAGTTGATGAAGAGGTCAATGTCGAATGGCTGCAATGATTAGAAGAAGTCTAATAGATGTCATCTTGGCTACAGGCGAGAAGGTATCACTATAATCCAATCCAAAAATTTGAGTGTATCCTTTGACTACTAAGCGAGTTTTAAATTGATCAATCTTACCATATACCTTCTCGAAGGGCAGCCAAAAGATCAGACGCATGTCGTAGGATCGGATCCGATGATATCGAGGGCGTCGGAAGAGAGTCTGTAATGACCTCAGAGACAGGTACGACCTTAGGGACATGTACGACAGACGTTGGTTGACGATGCTGATATGTTTGAAGCGGGAGAGAAGTGGGGGGTCAACTGTATGGTTATCTAGTGGACCAGATTCCCTATAATGATAGGGGATAATGAGAGATGGGACTTCCGAAAGAGGTGTGAGAGTACTTTCCCGAAGCGGTTTCGGAGTTACTTGGATGGAATCAAAATATGGAACAGACTCGAAGAAGATGACATCGGTCGACATGAGGTATCATTGTAGAGTATATGAATAGAAACGATAACCTTTAGTGATCGAGTTGATAGTTTATCAAGACTAGGAGAGAGATTGTGTACAAAACATGTAGACTCGAAGACTCGATGGAGAATTGGGTGAAGGGAGAATGAGAAAAAATGATTGAATGAGAGATTTTATTGTTATGGATAGATGATGGCATGTGATTTATAAGGTAACATGACGTTAGCACAACGTCCCCCCAAAAACGAAGTGGAACATTACCATGGAGAAGTAGGATCCAAGTGGTTTCTACGAAATGTTGATTTTTGCATTCGGCTACCTCGTTTTATTGAGGTGTATGAGGGTAAGATATTTGGTGGAGAATACCATTATTGGACATAAAAATTTGAAATTGTTGGGATAAGTATTCACGGACATCATCACTTCTTAAGGTATGAATAGACACGCCAAATTGAGTTTTATTTCTTTATAAAAAAATTTAAAAATAGAAAATCATTTTGATCTATTTTTCATTAAAAATAACCACGTGAAACGTGAAAAATCGTCAATAAAGATAACAAAATACCTAGACTCAAGAGTAGAGACAATACGTGAGAGACCCCAAACATCAAAGTGAACTAAAGCAAAAGGGACCAAAGCTCATTTGTTGACTCAATTAGAAAATTGACTACGAGCGTATTTCCCTAACTGACATGACTCACAATATAAATTAGATAGCTTCGATAAACTTGACACCAACTTTTGTAGTTTGGAAAGACTAGGATGGCCTAACTGAGCATGGATAGTGAGTGGAGAATCTTTGGTTGAGCAAGTTTGAGATGACACTGAAAAGTAATAAAGGCCTTGAGACTCACATCCAACGCCAGTCGTTCGTCCCAAATTTCAATCCTGCTGGCTGACATTACTATTAGTGAAGGTGACAATACAATCAAAAGAATAAATTAAATGACTGAGTGAAAGTAAATTAAATGGACAATTAGGTACATAGAGAACAGGAGTAACAGAGAGAGAAGGTAGAATTTGAACAGTACTAATTCCTTCAGATCGAGTTTGAGAACCATTGGCAGAGTTATAGTAGATAAGAAACCAGAGATAGAGAGGGAAGAGAAAATATTTTTATTATCGATAACGTGATCAGACACACCAGAATCAAGAACCCAAGGTCCAAGAGAAGATGATTGAGAGACAAACAGATGAATTGTCAGTGTATGCAACCGAAATAGTAGAATCTGAATTCTGATAATCCTGATACCACCTGAGAAAATCATCGTAGTTTGGTTTAAAATTCTAAGTAGCCATGAGTATCTGAAGAGAGAAAATATCACGCGAAACGAACGAAAAAGACTTTGTTTGAACATGATCACAGTTTTCCGTGAGTGGAAAACAAAATCTGAGGGTCGAATCTGGAACAAAGGGCAGAAAGACGAGTGGGTCAATGGAAAAATCGTCGGAACCGACCGAATCAAATTAGGCGCTTCTGCCGGTAATGTTGGTTTGTTGGAAGGTCGTCGAAAACAGTAGCGATGGCAGTGTTAGTGACTATAGAAATTCAAAAACCGATGCCGGAATGAGTCACGGTCGTGTATGGATGGCAAATCGTAGTTATGACACGTTTTGCCAAACATTTCTCACGGAAAGACAGTGAATCAACCAGATAAAGCACGGTGACAAGTTGTCTCTCAATATACTCGTAATATTATGTTAAAATACGAGATTAAAAGACATTTGAATAAACCGTATATTTTGAAAAACACTACGGAGATTTTATTATATATAAAGAGATCACAGTTAATTATATGATATAGTCAATTATAGACTATTCTATATACAAATAATATTTACAAATATAAACAAATATCATTTGATTGGTTGAGAGTAGATAATTATGACATACGTTCTAGATTGATTAAGGAAATGTAAATTTAAACACCTACGAGTCAAAAGCGGTGTTTGGTGTGTGTGCTTGATACTGGATAAACTATACAAGGCATGACGTGCTTCCTTTTAATCCAAAAATTGTGGGTATGGGTAAGAATAGATCAGACCAGTCTACAGGGGTCTATGATCTAGTCTATTTAAAGTCAGGTCATGCTTATTTAATAAAAGAGTCAAGCTTAAGCTTTTTTAAAAATCTATTTAATTAAATAATAAGTCAGACTTATACTATTAAAAAAGCCTATGAAACCTTATAGGTTGACCTATATTTTCAAGTATATTAAAAATAATCTCAATAGACTAGCTTATATATGCATATATATTATAAAAGAGATTAAATATGTTTGCCTATATGTGCATATATATTATAGCAAAGACTAAATAGGTCGACCTACATATACATATATATGTCAACTTATAAGACTTCTTATGTAAAATAGATTAATTAAAAACCTTGATAAAAAATAGACTTTTAAATAAGTTTTTAGGTCACGCCAAATTTTTAAAAAGGTCAAGCCAAATCCAAAAAAATAGCCTATAATAGATCACATGTCGGACTCAAGCCTTTTAAGTTTATTGTAGGCCAGATTAAGCCTTATAAAACCTAGCCTATTTCCACCCACCCCTAACTGTGGGAAAACTTATCAGTATCTATCTGCTTTGTCTTCCTAACTTGCTTTTATAGGTTTCAAGGGATTCCGCTAGATTGATCAGTTGCTAAGGATATTTATCCTTTAACCTGCTCAATGGATTATTCTGAGATGATAATTTTACGAGTGATAGCAGCAGTTCTCACCTTAGGCAAGACTCACTAAGTAGTTTTGATCCACTCTTTGCTATTGAGACTCCTATGAAATTTACCTAATAATAAAAGTTGCATCAAAAAGGGAAAAATATATAATTATTTGCAACGTTCCTACTTTGCGATGTTAATCGAGTGTTGCTTAAACCCAAAATCAGTAATCCAAAATGAACATTTTGATGATAAAATTGGCTTGATCTCAATATGAGGGAGCTTTTCATGAATACATAAATAATAACCTGAGAAAAGCCCTTCACAACCAATTGAAAGCAATTTTATTTTATTCTAAACTACAATTACAACATAAATGACACAATATAACAGTGCTGCACAAAACTGTACTAGGCTCACTTCCATTTGAGGGACTGCCTAATGCCTGTATAAATGAGTCCTACAGACCTACCAATCAAGCTAACCAAAAAGAAAGAGATCGCTTCACTTGCTTTATTAATAACTTTTCTAACAATCGGCATCATGATGTCCGACAACTCAAGGAGAAGGCTGAAGTAATACCGCCTGCAATACATTAGCACCGACATCAATTAGATTTATTGCGAGGTAATCTCTTCTAAACTGAGTGTCTTTAAAATCCTAAATAGGTATGGCAGAGATAAAACATACCATCCTATCAGGGCTCTTAACTCCTTGGTCCGCTTTACGGGCATCGAGAAATGGCTTATCACAATAGAGTGTAACTCATGTGACATGGTTTTTGAAGATTGTTGGGTAAGATTCCTCCACCAAGATTGTTTTTCAGTCTGACTGCTGTCTGGTAGATTAATGGGTTGTTTCTCAAGTGTACACAAGTCAAAGTGATCCTCATACATTGACACAACTGTGTCCATGTTGTGGTGCAACCACTGGTTCAAAGCAACCTGAAACAAGAGTAGTGATGAAAGTCAATGCAAAAATTTCATCCAAATTTAATAGTAAATTTTATAAAATGTACATCTGGTTAAGTGTATATATCTAAACAGAATACTTTGTGTTTGACCCTCTCCTCTCCTGGGGTGCCAAAATAGAATCCCGAATACTCAGTTCAGCTGACACTGGATTTAAAGACAATAAACTTAAGATATTTTATTTCTTCTTTATTGTAGGTATAATTAGGACCTGATTGTGTATAGTTTTTTTTGTCTTGCATTTCATGAATTCCAATATGTTTGCTAGCCTATAAGCTGTATCATAGCTCCCCATCTTGGGAGAATCCGCATCTGTTCCAAAAACACTAGCAACTTTCATTGCAGAAAAACCCTAATGGCCTTAATGTAGAGAAACCTAGCCACCTTCACTGCAGACCCCTTTTCGCGGCCTTCATAACAGCTATCAACACTTTAAGAGCGCCTTTAGCAGTGTAGACTGTTGTGGGTCATCTTGCTGGCCACCATCGATTTGATTGAAGACCCACCAAAAGAAGTGCATCCATAAGACCGATCAACCCCAGCAGGGCTTAAAAATTTTAGTAGTTCCTTGTGTGACTATATAGAGCTCAGTTCAGACAACCACGGTAAGGCTCGCCCTCGTCCTAGTTGTGGGCTCACCCTCATTCTATTCTGGTTCTGAGGGTTGTCTGGTCATTTTTGTAGCACTTAAAAAGCCTTAATTCCTCACGACAACGTTGGTATCTTGTGCAATCCTCCAAGAAAGATTCTGTGACTTTTCACCATGTCTGAAGAAAAAAAATGGCTACCCTTAGTCTCTCTGTCCTGCCAATCTCACTCTTGCATGGCTTGAACTACTTTGATGGGTAAGATACCTATATAATTAACCTGGTTAGTTCATACCAACCTCAAAGGGCACAAGAAACTCAACTACGTCAAAGGAACTGCTCCACTTTGAAAATCAGCCAAAATTGCATGTCTTCTCCGGTACTAAGAAGATTTAGGAGAAGCTTCGCCAAACGTATTACTCCCTTCATCCTAGGAAATAAGTACTTTTAGCAAATGGCACACGAATTAAGAAATGTAGATTTTAAGAAAAGTAGGGCTTACTTTCCAAAATTACTTTCATCAACTCCATTTAAAAATGGTATGGAAAAGGGAAATCACAAGAATTGAAAAAAGAAGCGTCAATGAACAGGAATTAGGTTTGATCCATGACTATAGAGATAAATGCATTGGAAAGAAATCAGACCTGGGAGATTGTTGATAAGTTGAAATACAGGACAGTCGATGGTTGCAAATAGATATATAGAGTGAAATATTGATTTGATGGTACCTGAATTGATATAAGGTTACGGCTAGGTGCAAGGATATATACCTATTAGAGTATAGTTGAGATATACAGTTTAACTCTAATAAAACTCTTGTAAATGACTGACATGTATCAGTTCTAGCAGTAGGTGACCTGCTATACTATAAATGTTGTTGATATCACAAGTGTATATATATAGTGTTAAGAATATTTGTATGTAGAATAGTCCCACATCGACTATATCATAGCATTAGTTGCAATCTCTCTATATATAATAAAGTCTCCGTAGTGCTTTTCAAAACACACGGTTTAGCCTAAATGTCTCTTAATCTCTCCTAATTCAATAAATGCAATTGTTAGTCTCATTTTGTAAACACTTTTCATATAACAGAATTCAGTTATAACTGAAAATGAAGAGTGCACTATGATTTCTATCAATACCCAGAGGCATTTGCCTCGGTTGCGAACATGAACACTATGAAAATCATTTTATCCTTGGCATCTCACTTTGGGTAGGAGTTACAACAACTTGATATTAAAAATCCATTCTCATAGGGACCGTGAGGAGGAAGTGTATATAGAGATTCTGCGGGATATGATTCCATTAATGGAGGGAACAAGGTATGTTGAATGAGGAATACCTTCTATGGGCTCAAGCAATCTTTTCTCTCTAAGCAAAAATGTCTAGAATATCATGTGAAGGAAGAGAACATGAAGAAGACATACTAAAATATCAGTATGCCCCTTGAAGAGATATTATTCATAATTGAGCATTGACCAAGGTAATTAATATATTTGTTAAGTGTCCTAACATTAATTGACTAAGAAAGATGCACAAGATATGAACTTTTATTAAAGGAAAAATGCATAATCTAGGTGATAGAACTGGAACTAGGGATTTATTGAGAACAATATCACAGTAGGAAATTCCCCTCTGTTAGTATGAAGCTTTATTGATTTTACTAAAACACTTTACAGATTTTCGGAGGTATCTGAAACCTCCCAAATACAATTCTAGTTCATCAATGAATTAATATCTACAATACATTTTCTTATCTGTAGATTAATTTCCCACTGACAGCCTCGCTTCTAACTGCTTACTGACAGTTATACAACTGTCAATTAAGGGATAAAATTGTTATTACCCTTTATATGGCTTCCTCCTCATTTCCAAACTCCAATATGTATTAACTTGCTTGGTAAAAAAATTCCAAAGTGAACCATGACAAAATGAGCACAAAAAATTGTAAGAAAATCCGCCCTCTCGATATACCACAGAATACTAAACAATTATAAGTAATGGAAAGATAAAGAGACAATATGAACAATTACAATTAAGTTCTTTTTAAGAAAAGATTCCTGCTTTGGCTCCTAACCACATTAATACATAATGCAAGAAGAATGGATTTTTTAAGTCAATAATTATATATTATTTTAGAGAAAAATATTACTGAGGAACCACCATAGAACTTTTACTAAAAAGAATCACATTCAGTTCTTACAGCTCTGAGATAGAGTGAAATAGACTAATATGGGTAAACAACAGAAACAATATTCATAAGCTTGAAAGTTATACCTCGTTGCGTAATTTTTGGAGTTCCCTAGTGGACATAGCACAGAATGACATGTCCCAGCTATTTGTTTTACTTGACACCTTACTATCAACAGAAATAAACTCCAGATAGACACTTGCAATCCCGTCTGCCAGAGCTATCACTAAATCTTCCAATATGGAAACGCCATGGGTAGCAAATATACTGGAATCATAACAGCAATTGTCCCTGGCAAAAGATGGATGACTGATGAGTGTCTTAAATCAAAAGACAATGCTGAAAAATGAATTTAGAAGTTAAAAACGGCAACAACTAAGCCTTATCTCACTAAGTGGGTCAGCTACATAGATTAAACTATATCATAATGTTCTATCGTATATCATATCTTTATCCAAACTCATTAATCTCTAAATCTTTCTTAATAGTTTCTCTTGTAGTTTTTCTAGGTTTTCCTATACATCAACTGAGTTGACTACTCTCCATCTGACCTACTCTCCTTACTGCATAATCTAAAGATCTTCTATCTATAGGTGCAAACCACCTAAGTCAAGTTTCCACCATTTTTTCTATGATAGGTGTTACCCCACATTTCTCTAATGTTGTCATTTCTATCACGTCTAGTCTTACCACACATCCTATGCAACATCCACATCTCCTCTACGATTATTTTATTCTCGTTTTGGTTCTTTACCAATTACCACCCAACACTCTGTCCCATACAAGATTGCTGGTCTTAACAGAAAAAAAAAATTCATTTACCTTGAGTGTTACACAAGCTCGGATAAAAGGAGAGAGATGTGTTACGTAGTTGACAACCAACTTAAAATTTAGTTGAATCTCTATCTATGACATGGATCAAATACGAATTGAGAAGTTAAGAAAAAAGAAAATTATGAGATGGCATTGGACTCAATAATAGGCTAAAAAGAAATTAAAATGGTTAACTAGTCCTATGTAGACAGAAATTGCTCATCCAAACCATGTTCATTTGTAAACCAGACAACAACAGTATTGTAAACCCAGACTATCAAAAATTACGAAATGGCTTCATATATCATATTCCTTCTGATAAGTAGCGCTCTTTCCATTATTTCTTGCCTAAAAACATATTTTTCAGTAGAAGAAAAGAGAGTTCCTATGAGAAAAAGCAGAAAAGAATAAGACAAATTTCTCATGACAAAAAAACAATTAACCTACAAGTTTTGTGCCCAAAGATAACACACCAAAACTGGCAGTTAAGTTAGTTGAAAAGCATTCAGTCGCAGACTAGATATCAGAGAAAAGATGTGTAAAATTTAAGATAATGTAAACGCCAAGAGATTATCAGGCAACCATCCTCATCAATTAAATTATTCATGCTTACATGACAAAATTAAATTAAAATGGAACCACAAAAAATCATAAAAGTGCAAGTAAAAAAAATTACCTAAGCAAACCGAAAGTAAGATACCAAAGTAATTCTGAATACAGATCCTTCTTGCCAGACCTTGTAATGTTTTGTGCAATAGCATTATCCCCTTTCACTTTTTCAAGTATCAAAGAAAGAAACTCCTAAGAACAATTCCAAAGAAGTAAAATCAGAACACGGGAAGCATTTAATTATTTGTTAATGATTGTTATATCATGTATGCAAGACAATACAGGTAATTTAATAAAACATGTGGATTATCGGATATGTACTAAATACTTTTTATTTTCAATTTTCTCTATCAATACCTTTTTAGATAAGAATTACAATGAGCCTACGAGGTTTGCTCATTGTTTGCTTTGCTACTAAATGAGAGAAACTGTTGGCTTCTCTTTCCGTGGAACTTTGCTCATTGTACTTTAGACTTTCCAAAGAAAAGTACAAAGTTATATTCCATTGTCTCATTATGTCATTTTTAGAATGTTAATTTGTCGCAAATTACTTTTCACTTTATAATATCCAGAAAGAATGAATTATTTGTTGAAATATCTCTTATTTAATATTATTTATTTTTTTATTTAAGAGTCCTTATATTACTTTTAAGAGTCATTATACTTTGTATTTCCTCTCCTATAAAAGAAGCTCTTTTTCCTTCGTAATAAAATAGACAAATTATCACCCATATCCTTTTTCTACATGGTATCATGAGCTCTGTTAGAGCTAGGGTGTTAGAGCTAGGGTGATACTGTAAAGATTTCCCTAACTAGTGGGGTTCGGGGCATCGCACAGAAAAAAAATTTATGGCGACCCGTTCTTTTATCCGACCCGACCGATCCAAACTATGGTGGACCATACCCAGAATTGTCAATAGCGGGCGCTCCAGCCGCTATCGCGGCGCACCGTAGCGGTGCGGCACCCCCCGCGCAATATGCAGCGTGCGGTGGCGGAGATGGAAAAGCGGCCGCTTCAGCCGCGTTACCGGGTTGCGGGAAGTTCCCCGAGCGGAGCGGCTCCGATTCTCTTCTTTTTTTTAAAACAATTTTTTGGGCCAAATTACTTAAATGCCCCTGTTTTAAAACAGTTTTTGTTTTCTTTATCCCTCATTCGTTGTGTTCTATCGTGCCCTAATATCTCAACTCCCCTTCTACGATTCTGCCGCCATCTCCCTGCAACTCTCATTCTTCGGTTCTTCCTCCATCTCCTTCTGCCATTTCAGGTAATTTCTTCGAATTCTTCAACTTATTCTACTTATTCTACTTCTTTTCTTTCTACTGTTTCTTTCTACTTTCTACTTCTTCTATTTTGTTTTGTTGTAAACACTGTTTCTTTCTATTTTGAAGAAGTTGAAGATGAAGAATTGGAGGAATATGAAGAAGATGAAGAATTGGAGGAATATTTTGATGATGCTACATGATTTCTATGTTTGCTTGAATTTTCATATGATAGTAGTAACTTTGAATTTGAATCTTTATGTTTTGAATCTTGATTAAGCATTGTTCTTTGTTTGACATTAGATTTTATAATTATTTTATGAATGTTGTGAAATTAGTTTAGTATTACAAGACATATGTTTTATAGATTATTATATAATTATTAGTATACAAAAAGTTATCCCGCTATCCGGGATCCCGCTATTCCCACTTTTCCCATTCCTGGGGGTCGGCCGCTCCGCTCCGCTATCAGGAATTAATAACTCTGACCCTACCCAAACACCACCTCCTCCCGGAGGTCATGGAGGCGACGGCGCCGCCGCCAACGTCAATTCCGGCGGCGGCACCAACAATTCTAGCAGAGGAAGTGGATTTACCATGCCAGAAATGCCCAATTTCATGACAAACAACAATTTTAACGGTGGGTTCGGTTATGACAGAGGTGATCCCAACAACAACTTTTTGGGTCCGGTTATGGCTACCCATTTGATGGTGGTTACAGTAACTCAGGAGGTGGAGGTCAAAGTAACTCTCTTCAGGTTAATGTTTAGAAACTGGATGGCTCAAACTACGTTGAATGGTCTCAAACTGTTCGACTTATTCTAGAAAGCAAAGGGAAGTTAGGATTTCTTACAGATGATGTTCTGGTGTCTACAACAACACATCCTAATTACAGGTTCTGGAAATCTGAAAACTCTTCTATTATTGCTTGGATTATTAATTACTATGAAGGTAGGTATGAGAAAAACATACATGTATCTGCCTACAGCAAAAGATGTTTGGGATGCTGTAAAACTGTCTTACTCTGATATTAAAAGTTTCTCTCAAATTTATGATCTAAAATCAAGATTATGGAATTTAAAGCAGAATGACATGGATGTCACTACCTACTATAATGAATTGATGGCCGTTTTGGATCAATGTTATGATTATAACTAGAGGTGTATTGAAGACAGTGTTCAGTTTATTAAGACACAGGAGAACGAATGTGTCTTTATTTTTCTTGTTGGTCTCAACAAGGAACTCGATGAAGTAAGAGGTAGAATTCTTGGAAATAATCCGTTGTCAACTATCCGAGAAACTTTTTCAGAAATCAGAAGGGAGGAGGCTAGACAAAGAGTAATGATGGGAAAGTCAAACTCAGCAACGGATGGTTCTTCCCTTGTCACAAACAACTTCAATAAGGGCAGCAAGAAATATGGTAAGAAAGATGGTAAACTTTGGTGTGATCACTGTGAACGTTATTATCACACAAGTGAGACTTGTTGGAAAATTCATGGAAAGCCTCCTAATTGGAAAAAGAAGGGTGAGGGTCGTGCACTTCAAGCAACTTTTGATCAAGAGCCAGAGTCTTTCCCAAATGCATTTCCATTCACTAAGGAATAGCTAGACCAAATGTACAAACTCCTCGAGTCTCAAACACCTTCGTGCTTCATAGTCCAGAAAGGTAACTTCCCAAAACCAACCCATCTTAGTGTCATTCCTAATCGTACATGGATCGTTGATTCTGGAGCCACCGATCATGTGACCGGTGAATCCAATTTATTTTCTTCATATAAACCACGTGCAGGAAATTCCAAAATTAAAATAGTTGATGGCTCTCATTTAGTCGTGGCAGAAAAAGGTTCTATTATTTTGTCTCCCTTACTAACCATCCAAGATGTGTTACGTGTCCCAAATTTGTCTTGCAACTTATATGTCAATAAGCTAACCACAAATAAAAACTCTCAAGCTCATTTCTCTGATACTCATTGTGTATTTCAGGATTTGATCTCGGGGAGGGTGATTGGCTCTGCTGAGGAAAGTGGTGGACTCTACTACATGGAAGATGAACCAAAAATCAGACATCAATTTGGACCAATAAGTCTTTCTTCTGTTAAATCCTTTTTTGTTTCAAATAATAAGGATGACATTATGTTGTGGCATTTAAGGTTAGGCACCCCTAGTTTTAAATATTTAAGTTCATTGTTTCTTAAACTTTTTGTTGAACAAGACATTTTTTCACTTCAATGTGAGGTTTGTGAGTTTGCTAAACATCATCGAAGTTCTTTTCCAATTCAATCTTATAAACCTTCAAAACCTTTTCCAATGATTCATAGTGATGTTTGGGGGCCTAATCGAACAAGTACTTTATCCAACAAAAAATGGTTTATCACTTTCACAGATGATCATACTAGACTTTGTTGGGTATACTTGTTGAAAGAGAAATCTAAGGTAGGTCAAATAATTCAAAACTTTTGTAAATTGTAGCAGACACAATTTAACACCCAAATACAAGTGTTTAGAACTGACAATGGTACTGAGTTTTTTAATAAAATTGTTGGAAATTTTTTTCTTGAAAATGGAATTGTGCATCAAAGTTCATGTGTTAACTCACTCCAATAAAATGGGATTGCAGAGAGAAAAAACTGGCACCTTCTTGAAGTTGCACGAGCACTACTCTTCTCTATCAATGTCCCTAAATATTTATGGGGTGAAGTTGTCTTGACAGCTGCACATTTAATAAACCATATGCCATCCCGTATTTTGAAATTTCAAATTCCTTTGCAAAGTTTCTTGAAATATTTTCCAATTGCTTCAGTTCTATCTGATTTACCACTTAAAATATTTGGATGCCCAGCTTTACGAACACAAGCATCTTGGTAAACTTGAACCCCGTGCAATCAAATGTGTTTTTATTGGGTATTCATCTTCTCAAAAAGGTTATAAATGTTTTGATCCTAATACAAAGAAAATATTTGTAATAATGGATGTTACTTTTTTTGAAAACAAACCTTTTTTTTGGTAATGATCATCTTCAGGGAGGAAAACAAATGAAAATTCTCCTGAATTGTTTGAAAACTTAATTGTCTCAGAAGATGTGTATATATCACATAATTATGTTCCATGTACATCTGCACCTAAAGAAAATGCCTTGAAAAAATTGGATGAACCTACTCCTTCCATGAGTAAGGATCAATCAGAATCTGAGGCAACAAATCAAAACAAAGATCAAACAAATGTTTTTTCTGAAATTAATCAAAATGCACCAGATAAAAATCCTTATAATGAAATAGAAAAAAGATTTGAGAAAGGAAATCCAATTTGGAAAGGCAAAATTTATGTCAAAAGAAACAATGATCAAGTAGTAGAAGACCTTAATCCTCAGCTCAGCCAAGAATCTGAACCGAGTGAAAGTCAACCGACTCAAACAGGTAAATCTCTCCTTGATCCTAATTCTCTATATATCGACCTTGATGTCCCTATAGTACTTAGGAAACAATATACTAATCTTAATGTTCCCATAGCCTTTAGGAAGACGGGTAGGCCATGTACTAGGCACCCCTTGTCTAACTTTGTATCATATTCATTTGTATCATATTCAAACTTGTCTCCCTCTTTTGCAGCATTTACTTCTAATTTATCTAGTGTCAAAATTCCTAAGAATGTACAGGAGGCTCTAGAAATTCCAAAGTAGAAGGAAGTTGTTTTTGAGGAGATGAAAAGTCTTGAAAAGAATAAAACTTGGAGTATCACAACTCTGCCGGCAGGTAAAAGAACTGTGGGATGTAAGTGGGTGTTCATAATAAAGTACAATTCTGATGGATCAATCGGAAGGGTGCAAAGCTCGATTGGTTGCAAAAGGATTCAATCAGACCTATGGCATAGATTACTCAGAGACCTTTGCTCCTGTTGCAAAGCTTAACACAATCAGTATACTCTTATCTCTTGCTGCTAACTTAGACTGGCCTCTCCTTCAGCTAGATGTCAAAAATGCATTTCTCATGGTGATTTAGAAGAAGAAGTATATATGGATTGTCCTCCAGGTTTTGAAGAAACCTTGGGGTCACAGGTGTGTAAACTAAAGAAGTCCTTGTATGGGTTGAAACAATCTCCGAGAGCTTGGTTTGAAAAGTTTACTCAGTCTGTGAAGAAACAGAAATATACTCAAGGACAAGCAGATCACACTTTATTCACAAAGTCAGGTCAAAATGGAATGATAATTGTTTTGATAGTTTATGTTGATGATATTATTCTTACAGGTAATGATGAGATAGAAATGGAGAGATTAAAAAAGAAACTTAGCAGCAGATTTTGAAATCAAAGACTTGGGTCCCCTCAAGTATTTCCTTGTCATGGAAGTAGCAAGGTCAAAGAAAAGAATTGTTGTTTCTTCTGAGAAAATATGTTCTTGATCTCCTACAAGAGACAGGTATGAGTGGTCGTAAGTCTGCCGACACACCGGTGGACCAAAGTGCCAAACTTTGAGAGAAAGGGGACACATCAGTTGACACTGGAAGATATCAGAGGTTGGTTGGAAAATTAATATATTTGGCACATACTCGTCCTGACATTGCTTTCTCTGTTAGTGTTTTGAGCCAATTCATGCATGCACCATATGAAGAACACCTTGAAGTTGTGCACAGAATCTTGAGATACTTAAAAGCAACTCCTGGAAAAGGGTTATTCTTCAAGAAGACCAATGATAAAAATGTGGCAATTGGGCAGGATCCATTATTGATAGAAAATCAAATTCAGGTTATTGCACATATGTGTGGGGGAACCTAGTGACTTAAGCAAAAAAACAAGGAGTAGTTGCAAGAAGTAGTGTTGAAACTGAGTTTAGAGCAATGGTCCAAGGAAGTTGTGAAGGTATGTGGATTCTCGTCCTAAAAGAACTGAAGGTAGAGGTAGAACCCCCATTGAAATTGTACTGTGACAACAAGGCAGCTATAAGCATAGCTCATAATCCGGTTCAACATGATCGTACAAAACATATCGAGATCGACCGTCATTTCATCAAAGAAAAACATTTGAAAATTTGATCAGCAAGTTAGGCATGATTGACATCTATGCACCAACTTGAGGGAGTGTTGAAATATCTCTTATTTAGTATTATTTATTTTCTTATTTAAGAGTCATTATATTACTTTTAAGAGTCATTATATCACTCCTAAAATAAAGGAGCTGACTTTGTATTTTCTCTCCTATAAAAGGAGCTCTTTTACCTTCATAATAAAATAGACAAATTATCACCCATATGCTTTTTCTACATTATTTTTCAATAATACTACATTTATTGGTATCTCAACCCGGTGTTGTTAAATTTTAGCCATTGTGGGGCCATGGTGGATATAGTTGACGGATTTTTGGCTCTCTGCTATGGCCAAATATGTGAAGGATGGCGGCACCACAACACCGGCTTTATTGCAGAATTTTGGCTCTTCGCCATGGTCCGCCATCGATAACACTGTCTCAGCCAACAATACTATAACTAATCCTTATTATCTATCTAACTACCACATGAAGCATTTTAGTCAATAGAACTTATTTTATCATTGCAATTATTAGTATAATAAATGATTTCCTTAAGATGTGTGTATTTCCTTAAGATGTGTGTATTACCTTAAATGACAAGTAATATAGACAAAGGGAGTAGTTGTATGGAAAATCATAACATTGTCAATCGCACAGATTGCAGAAAATAGCAATTTGTTAAAATTCCGCTACGCAATAGTGTTATAGCGCCACTATAGCAGCTATGTAACAACATTTTGTATTAAATAGCATCAGAACAATAGTGGTTGGTCCGAACTCCACTATGTGACAGCAGTTAAGCGCCGCTATAGCTGCTATTTAACAACACTAGAAAATCAAAAGACTCGTATCGTTTAACATTTATTATATATGTGCATGTAAGTTGTCGCTAACTCATCCTTTGATTTTCCAATCAATGTTATAACTCTAAGAATCAACCCCTCAAAGATGATAGGTAAGGGGCTGCTTATATAGACCTACAATGGGTTTGACCTTCTACTGATCACATCAGGTGAAGGAGCTTTATAATACCAGGTTTCCCTATCCTGATAAAGCTCTATAATTTTCTCTTTAAGGTGCATTCACCATTTTTGAGAAGCCAAACCAGCTTACCTGATACACCTTATGGAATTTTCTTGAAAACCTGAAATCAGAATATTATGAAAATGGGATTTATCTTATGACTTAATAACTTGGATTTAACAAGTTCAATATACATAAGATATCATCCCATACACCTAGCTCTTAGAAATTTATAGTACTCAAATCTATCCAACCTAGTTCAGTAACTTACTCAAATGTACTAGTACTAGTAGAAAGGCCATAAATTTACTCATATATGCACCTTATAAAATTACCTTGTCAGTGTTGCCTTTTACGAGGAAAAACTCCTTTTCCAGCCATTTAGCACAGATAGAATGACATGATCTTTGAATAACTTCAGAAAAAACTTTGAAAAGATCATCCGTACCAACAGATATGGAAACGCTTGAGTTATTATTAACCTGGATAAAAAATTAACAATTAAATACATGCTAGAATAATTGTAAAAATAGCTTACACCAACTTATTCACTTTGGTATGCATTTTTTTAGTTTGGAAATGAGTTATAAAAAATAAAAGCAATGAAATGTACAAAGAATCAAACTTTCGGACTGATTTTTAATTTCAAGAAAACAAATTAATTTTGAAGTCTAGCAGTTAATTCAAAAATTGTTGATTGATTGATATACTAGAAGGAACCAAGTAATGAAGTAAATTTTCAAACATTTATTGCATTCCAACTTGTCAAAATTCCAAGTTATACCAAAATAACACTACATGTGCAAATGAGAAACAATGAAAAACAATGAAAAGAGAAAATAAAAACAATCCCTGCCTCTTCCTCGATTTGCAGAAAAGCAGCCCAAAGTAATCTTAACTTTGGACCCTCGGCCACCGCATTTAAACTCAAGGGTTTTTTTGCATATTGAAGGATGGTGTCCCCCGCATAAGCCTCATTCTCTAATGCCTTTAGTGAATTCAAAAGTTTTTCTCTCACCACATCTAATACATAATTTGACTCAACTAGATCATTTTGCTTCATTGCACTGCAAAAGAGACAAAAGTTCTCAAGTAATTAGAGAAATAACAATCATCTGTCTCCAAATACTTTAACAATATTTCCATCTACGTAGAAGATTAAAAACTATTCAACCTGGATATCTTGACCTGCTTACCCTTACCTACCAGAAATGTCTGAGCTCTCACCTAACGCATTTTTAATAGAATTACTCTTTTGATCACTGGTATAAGATTTGTTAATAGGAATTACTCCGGCCATATAAGTGAGCAATATACTTCCCATCAAAAGAACCTGATTAACAACAGGCACCAAACTAGAGGCTGTTGAACCATCAAAGTCAACCAAAGCTCCTATGCCATTGCAATTTAAAGGGAATGTCCGAAGAGAGTGAGTCATTTTTAAATCTGGAGCCCTAAATACACTTGGCTCGTATGTTTTCTGTGTTGAGAAGTGGAAACATTCACATCCATTTCTGGAATACTTTCTGCAGCAAAAAGTAAATATTCAAACATCGGGCCATCAAATTCGCGATACCAGACATAAAAAGCAACAATGATCACCCCTGGTTTTATAGAAACAGGAAAGTCATACTTCCTATCTATTAAAACTATGTATTAAGAAAACAGGGTGAAGTAGCAGAATAATCAATATCGACTGTACTCTTAGAATCTTAGTAATGGCAACCAAACATGCAAGAAAATTAAATTTTGGTTAACTCAAAAGTACTATAATATACAAATAAAAATATACTAATAATAAGAAAGCTTAATTTGCAAAAAATGAAAAGTAAGAACATTCCATTTTCGGCCTTCACTTCTAAAAAGTCAAGACAACAACAAATAACAGGGAGTAATTTTGCAAAACAAAAATCATACAGTACGATTTTATTTAATTTAAATTTTCTAATAATTAAACACATCTAATTTTCTCTAACAAACTTTTTACTCTAAATTTACTTTGTTTTATTAATTGATCAATAATAAATATGACCGTAATCCATACATGTTGAATATGATGATCATGTATGTAACATTATAAATGATTCAGACAGTTGTAGGTATTCAATTTGATAATACACATTTAGTTATAATTTTAATATCATATATTGACATACAACAACAACAATCAAGTCTTATCCTACTAATCTCACTAAGTGGAATCGACTATATGATCAACTTCCACCACAAAGTTCTATCCAGGACCATACTTTTATCCATTTCGTTAATTTAAAGATCTTTCTTAATAACCTCTCATATAGTTTTTCTAGGTCTTTCTCTACCTCTAGTTGTTTTACTCCTCTCCATCTAATCTACTCTTTTTACCACTAAGTCTATTTTCCACCATCTTTCTCTACCTCTAGGTGTTACTCCAACACTCTCTAATATTGTCATTTCTAATCTTATCATGTCTAGTCTTACCACACATCCAACGCAACAACCTCATCTCTACTACACTTACTTTATTCTTGTGTTGATTCTTAATCACCCAACATTCTATCTCATACAATGTGGAAGGTCTTACTGCAGTCCAATATAATTCTCCCTTCAGCTTGAGCGGTACCTTTGTGTCAGATAAAATCCCCGAAGCCCTCATCCATTTCAGCCACCTCGCTTGAATTCGACGGTTTATATCTCTTCCTAGTTGCTAGATTGGCTAATTTGAAGATGGGATTGAAGGCGACAAAAGTATGTTTTTAAGTTAGACACACGAATGTATTCTAACTATAATAAATAACACCAGTAGCAATGATGATGAAATAAAACCTTTGAACAGTCTTGAAATTTATTGTCTGATGAGAGAAGCCTCCTCTTTCTGTAAAAGGCCTTCTCTGCGTATAGAGCTTAAAGCAGAATGGGGAAGTCACACATTCCGCCATTGACAACTCCTTACTCCACAGTCAACACATTATACAGCACCTACATGCGAATTTAATCACCTACAACACAAATAAAAAACCAGAAACATGAATAATCAAAATGTATGAAAAATACGAACACAAAATCCAGATAAAAATACTCAACAAAGCTAAACCTAAATTGAAATGAATTCAAAGAGGAACTAGGAAGAATCAGTAATGGTAACATAGAAATAGTGAAGAAGAACAAAATGGTAATTTGAAAAGAAAATAGAGAAAGGAGAATTAGGACGATAGCATACCAGTGGAGAAATGGAAAAGCGTGAAAAAATGAAGTGAATAGAGTGAGTGAGAGAGTGAAGAGTTTGGCGGGGAAAGGGGATAGCAAGGGTAGTGATGTGAGAGAATGAGAAGAAGCTTGGATTGGTTTTGTGCGTACCTGATTCGCTTCTTCCTATCACTTTGTTTACTGTTAACGGCCAAATTAGGGCTTTAATAAGACCTTTTTATATGCTTCGAAGATAACTTCCAAAACACTACTAACATAGGAGTGGATTCTCTTCCCTCCCATGAAATCCTAACCTTTAAAAATCCTTCTCATTTTATTCAATTATTATGTTTGATAACATAATAATTAATATGTATTTTGATATTATTAATCTCATATGTAATTATGAATTATGGCGCACTCTAATTATGTCAACTTAATTAATGCATTAACGGGTGGCGTTTAGAAAAAAATTAATATTGATCAAGAGTTTATATTACGTGATCATATGTTTAAATAGATCTGATGGAAGTTGAAAAATTAGATTTCAGCATAATAATTTGGAGGCCTAATTTTAGTTATAATATATGATCAAAATTCGCTATGATAAGATATGAAAGAAATGGTCAATAAAAAGAACATATTTAAAAATTGAAACGTAATGACAGCGAGATAGGAAAATATAAATATTCTTTTATATCGTGCGAATTCAACACTGTAAAAAAATATTTGGATATTTAATATGTTCTGCATTGTGCATAATCATGAATGTTATCTTTATTTTCATCAAGATTGTCACTATTTTCAGCATCACTTTCTTTCCTTTCATTTCCTTTTTTTCCTTTTTCATGTTCCACAAGATAATTCAATATGAGTTCAATTCATGTAATTTACTAAACAAAGTAGATGTCTAAAGAGGATAAATATTTTGATTCTCAAATTACTATTAATTTAAGTTTTTAATTGAGAACTAAGCATTTAAAAACTTTGTTAGTTAAGTATTCATTTTTTAAAGTTTTCCTTAGAGTCTTGAGGGAATTAATTATATGGGTAAAGAAACTTTTTTGTATATCTTGAATGTTTTCTTTATATTTCAACCTAAATAACTCACACTTATGTGTTAATGTATTATTTTGATTTTTACTTCAGTAGTACTTTTATCTATCAATGGAAGGGTATCACACGTTTTCTTAATTGTATTAGAATATGATATTAAAAGACAGGGTCGTCGGCTCAAACAATTCAGAGGTCTTGTTCTAATTTAAAAAATAGAACTAAATTTAAAAATATCTATATATATTATTTTAATAATTAAAAATAATGCACAGAAAATAAAATTATATATTAGCCAAATAAAGCATCAAAAAACTTAAAGTATTATTTAAATTATAAACATCATTTCATACAACTTAAAATATCTAACTATTTAAAAAGAGTCTCCCTACAAACACTTTTTGAAGAAAATTCATCAACTAAATCTTCATATTTTATTGTTTCCAAAATATCATTTTCAACTGTTATTATGCTTTTTGGCCATTTCTTTAGCATATAAACTTATATTACTTTTATGATCTTCAGTGGGTTTTTTTTATTTTAGTTTTATCTGTTAATGTAGGAAAACAATTTCACAATAGAACTATTAATAGATCGTTTGTTAGTAAATACTACAAAATTGATCAGCAACTGATACAATAGACATACTGAGATATTCTAGTTTTTTTTACTATGCATCATAAGAATAGAAAGTATGAATTTGAAAATGATAAGCGTAAGAAAAAGAATTAAATTGAAGAGTTAATTCAATCTCAAGCAAGAGCTCTTGATAATTTTTTAATCAAAGAACCACAAGTTCCAAATAAAAGTCATTATGTTGATAATATTGATGTTGAAATTCTTGATATTGTGCCCATTGAAAATGATAATCTTGATAGTGTGCCCATTGAAAATGAAAATCTTGATAGTTTGCCCATTGAAAATGATAATATTGATAGTGTGTCCATTACTGATGAAGCTAATAATGATTGTGATAATTTTGAGAAAGTTAATAGTGAAAATCATAATGTTGATTATGATATATTTGATCCAAGAAATTGGGATCATCTTCAGCCTAAACTGATTGATTTGTTAGTTGTGAAAGGTCCTAAAAGAGATGATTATATTGTGAAGGGTCTTAGAGATAGTTTGAATAGACGTTTTACGACTAATTTATATATGTTAGATCTTTAGCAAATGGAGAGATGTGTGATAGAGATTGGCTTGTTTGTTCGAAAGAGCTTGATATAACACTTTGTTTCTGTTGTAAAGTTTTTAGCAATAGGATTGGTAGGAGACAATTAGCAAATGAGGGCTATAGTGATTGGATACTTGTTGGTGCAAAAATTAAAGAGCACAAGTTAGGCATGGAACATGTTAAAAATATGACTATTTGGAATGAGTATCGTCAAAGGCTGCAAAGATTTCAAACTATTGATAAAATGACTCAAAGATTAATTGAGAAAGAAAAGGATCACTGGAAAAATATTTTAAAAAGAGTTATTTTAATAGTGAAATTTCTTGCTAAACATAATTTGGCATTTTGTGGTTCTAAGGAGAAATTGTACAAAGATAGCAATGGAAATTTTTTGGGTTTGATTAAAATGTTAGTTGAATTTGACCCAATCATCCAATAACATGTTAGACATGTTACAACTCAACAAGTTCACGTTTATTATCTTGGGCATGAAATACAAAATGAGTTGATTTCACTGCTTGGTTCTACAATTAAAATTTAAATCATTAGAAAAACCAAACAAGTAAAATAGTTCTCAATGATACTTGATTGTACTCCTGATGTTAGTCACCAAGAGTAAATGTCCTTGATAATAAGATATGTGGATATTTCTTCATCTTCTGTTAGCATTGAGGAATCATTTTTAGGATTTTTTAATGTGAATGACAAAATTGGTCAAGGGTTTTTTGATGTTTTACAAAATGAATTAAAAGAAATGGCAAATTTATACAATTTTTGCCAATTATACTAAGAAATGGCAAATTTTGAAAGATAATGTAAAAGGTTTGACTCAAAAATAATTATCATCCACTCGTTATGAGAGTCGTGTAGAAAGTATCAAAGCTATAAGAACTTAAATATTAGATTTTACATAAACTTTACTTAAAGTGTCAGAAAATGATCTTGATCCTAAAATACAAAATGAAGCTAAATCTTTAGCAACAAATGAGCTTTGTGATTTTGAGATTTTGATGGCTATAATTATTTGGTTTAAAATATTATTTGCAATTAATTCTGTTAGTAAGCTTTTACAGGAAAAGGATATGCTTATTGATGTTGCTATGGAAAAAATAAAGTGGTTGATTTCATATTTTGAGGGATATAGAGAAACAAGTTTTTATAAGGAATTGGTTAACACTAAGGAAATTGTGGTTGAATTGAATATCTCCCCAACATTTCCTCAAAGGCGTATAATTAAAAGAAACAGACAGTTTGATGAGAATTTGAATACCCCAACAGTCGAGGTATCTGAAGAGGAATCTTTCAGGGTTAATTATTTTCTTTACCTTGTTGATCAAGCTATTGTTTCTCTTAATAAGAGATTTGAGCAATACCAAGAATATGAAAGTATTTTTGATTTCTTGTTTACTTCTCACAAGTTACAATCATTGGAAGAGACTACTTTGAAATCTTGTTGTAGTAACTTTGAAAGAGTATTGTAACATAATGAGCAATTTGATATTGATGGGAATGAACTTTTTTCAAAGTTAAAGTTACTAAGAGAAATGTTGTCAAAAGAAATCATAAGACATACTGATATATTATTATTTTAGAAAGATTTGGATTGTTTTCTTAATACTATTATCGCATATAGAATTTTATTGACTATTCCTGTGACAGTTGCTTCTACAGAAAGGAATTTTTCAAAATTAATGTTGTTGAAGACTTACTTACGGTATACCATGTCACAAGAACGTTTTAATGGATTGACATTTACAATTCGATGTTTGGTTTCATTGATGGTGGTGATGTTTCATTTTTTATTTCTTTTTTTAACAGCAACTCTGGAGAGAAACAAGGAGAAGATAAAGAGAGAGCATTAATAACCAAGGTGTTTCATTTTGTTGGTGGTGGGATGGTGACATTTCATTACACTTCTTGTTTTAATATTTTTATGCTGAATAATAATAATAATAAGACGTGGGCTCCTATAATTGTGAGACCCAGTGTTAAAGCACTGCCTGCTCGTGAAGAGGGTCGGGCTTGTTAAAAAAACTCATCAATACTCAAGGTGATTATGATTATTTCAAATTTTGTTTATCTTTAATTCAAATGGTTCTAGATTTTCTTCACCACTACATCATTCAAAATATGAGTGAGAAATAAAATGACCATTCATAATATCATTCCAATAAAAAATTTCATTCTTTTTTGGGTTAATACATATTCCCTCCGCCATATAAGTGCTTTTTGAAAAACCTTTGTACAAATTTTTTGATAAATTTCTCTAACATTTGAAGATTATCTTATTTTACACATTTATTATCAGACCCAGTCATCATAAAAAATGATGTGGCATTTTTTTACTGATTTAGATGGTTAAGTGGTTTTTTTATTTTAATTTTTTATTATTTTTAATGCCATGTTGATATTTTATTTTATATTAATTTTTTGTTTATATTAGAAAACATGTAAAATACTCAAAAATATGGTGGAGGTGGGGGTTGATTATTTTTAATGCCATGTTGACATTTTATTTTATATTAATTTTTTGTTTATATTAGAAAACATGTAAAATACTTAAAAATACGGTGGAGGTGGGAGTTAAACTCACGTCTTTTACATTATAACTCAAACACTAAACCACTGAGTTGGACATCTCATTTTTCAATAATAATGCCTTTAATTGATGTTATAGCATGTTTGTCTTACTCTATTAATAAAAATGCCTTTAATTTATTTATAGCATGCTTGTCTTTCTGATTCATGGAGCTCGTTTCTAGAATTGTAGACAATTGATTTCGAAAGTGTCAGATTATGCAAGACCTACATATTCATAAGGGATCAACAAAAGGTACATAAACTGCTTTCACATTTGTTCATAACTTAATTTGTTTTAATAATTGCATAATTGTTATTAACTTCAAGTGTTTTAATTGTAATGCAGGGGTTGTTGCCGGCACTTGAGGAGTTGCTACCAGATGTTGACCAAAGATTTTGTGTAGGGTATTATTGCATACACTTTAGTCCCTAAACTCTCTGTTAGTGGTTTCTATTTTAGCCCATTCATTGCATTCACTTTAGTCCATTTTGTGTGTCTGTAGACATTTAAAAAGCAATTTTTGGAAGAAGTTACTAGGTCTTAAACTGAAGGAATTGATGCGGAAGGCTGCAACTACTACTCATGTCAATGCTTGGAAAAAATAATGCTTGAACTCAATGGCATTAATGAGGAGGCATTCAAGCACCTTATAAAGATTCCACCAAGGTTCTGGAGTGAATAAAGGTTTTAAAATAGTTAAATATATGACACATTAGTAAATAATATGCCAGAGGCATTCAACTCAACATTTGTGATGCAAGAGTCAATCTTATTATCACTATGATTGAAGAAATTATAGTGTATCTTATTTAGAGGTGAGATTCAAACAGACAGAAGATTGTCAAATATTAAGGTAACATTACACCACACGTCAAAAAGAGAATGAAAAAGGAGTCACAAAAAACAAACCATTGGATTTGAGGTAATTTGTTGATTTATACAATTGAATTATGTACATTTGTTACAATTTGGTGAGTAATACAATTGTATTATGTATATCCGTTACAGGCATGCAGATGAATATGACTTAGACATGTATCATACAATAAAGAAAAATTCAGTGTTAATATTTCCAAAAATGAATGCTCTTATAGAAGGTGGATGCTGACATGGCTGCCATGTTGTCATGCAGTTTCATGCATGAAGGACCAGTAATTAGAATCTGATGAGTTGGTGCCTGACTGCTACAAAAAGGATTGCTATGAGGATTTCTATGCACTAGTGTTATATCTAGTTAATGGGGAATCTTTATGGACAAAAATATATTTTGTTGATCTACAACCATCACCCATAAAAAGACAGGCTGATAGGCCTAAGAAGAAAAGGAACAAGAAGGTTGGAGAAATAGTGAGAGATGAGTCATAACTAAAATGATCAAAATCTGACATCAAATGCAGTCGTTGTCATATGGATGGTTACAACAAGGTCACTTGCAAACTGTCAATGCCACTTATCCAATAAGCAAGTCAGCCTAACACAACTCATCCCGTACAAGATGACTATGCACCCACAAACTCTGCTTGCACCAGCACCTCCCAATGAGAGAGCACTGACACCTCCAAGTTAAGAAAAACTATCATTGTCTTCAACTCAACCACCATCCAAGAAGAAAAGAAGACTTCAAAAAGGCCCAAAACTTGATATGAATCAACCATAATTATGTATCTCATTTTTTATGTATTGTTTTGGAATGTACTAACTTTGCGAATGATATGGCTTATAATGTCATTTTGAATGAATTTTTGGAATGGTTATGAATGTAATCACTTTTAGATTAATGATATGTAATTGTGCAATTCTGGGATACAATTGGAATGATATGATATGTAATGCCATTTTGAATTATATGAAATTTTGTTATGTAACATAGTTTCAAATGATATGAAAGACTGATTATATTTTTGTTAACTTTATTAAATGTTTCACTCTAGTCCTTTTACTGTAATAATTATTTTCCTAAGGTCCCTTAACTTTATTACAGACTTCAAATTAGTCCCTTAATTGTATTATAGTTTTTAAATTAGTCCTTTAACTATATTATACTGCTATAATATGGTTAATAAACCAATATGTTACACCATTCTTTTTTGGCCACTCATTTATACCATTATTATGTATTTGTATCAGTGATCATTGCAGATTATAGTGAACACAAATTGTTTCTCATAACAATAATATTTTAAACCAACAAAAGTGTTAACATAATTTCATGACAGATACAATAACTAAAGTACATTCATAACACAATTTCAACCCTAATCATATTTGAAATACATTGTCATAATCACAAGATTCAACCATAAGCTCAAAATCCCAACCACAATGGACATTTTCAACCATCCTCTAGTGTGGAGAACCTCATTCTATAATTTTAAACTGTTCTATTTTTACCTTTCAATCTTCAAATCCCTTTCA